TAATTATTGACAAAGGATATATCTTCGAACGATATCCAAAATTTCATTGCGAATGCAACTTCATAGAACGATACTGGAGTTTTGTAAAATGGGAGACCAGACAACTATGTAATTATAATTATACAGACCTATTGAGACGGATTCCCGAAGTTCTCATTAGTGTTCCCCTAACAACTATTCACAAATTTGCACGCAAGTCGTGGAGATACATGGATACATATGATAAGGGATTGGAGGGTAGAGTTGCTGAATGGACTGTTAATAAGTATAAATTACATCATCGATTGCCAGAAACAATAGAAAGAATTATGGATTAATGCGTCCTCTTCTATTTTCTGCTGACTTTAAAAACTAATCAAATGTCTTTATCTTTTATGTTCCAATAGCATTTTGATGACTGAATTTAAGTTGTCCTGTAATTACATTTTCTGCTGAATTTAATATTTTTAGTAAACTCTATCAACTCTATTGTAACGCATAACATTACACGTAATTAAAATTTACTATTATTTTATTGGTCAATTACAAAAACGTGATAATATGATCGATACCAGAAAATTGAAACAAAGTCACGTGATTGTCGAGTTAAGATTTCTTACACTATATTAAATATATTAAATCAAAAACTAACACTTAATATCAAGTATATACATATATATATATTTCTGATATGGTTGAAAATCGATTGCCAACCATATTCATTGGCAATCGATTATCAACACTCCCACTAATTATTATCGATTGTTGATCAATCGATAATAATCAGTTTTTTTATTATTGTTTACAAATGATAGAAATCATTTTCTATCATTTTCTATCATTTACAAATGATTGCTATCATTTGTAAACAATAATAAAAAAACTGATTATTATCGATTGATCAACAATCAATAATAATCGGTGAGGGTGTTGGTAATCAATTGCCAATGAATATGGTTGGCAATTGATTTTTAACTGTATCAGAAATTTGCTGATAAATGAATTCTTATTAAAAATAATATTCGCACCCTAAATCAAATTGATCACCATCTAATTTCTGAAGAAATTGCCCATAGTGTATTTTTATATCAAGAAGTTCAATATTATCAAGAAGGTATCAAACTCCAATGGCAAAAATTTACCTGGGAACAATTCATCAAACTTAATAAACAGTTTCAACAAACTGAAGACTGAGATGATGACTGGTATTATAATTGGAAAGACCCAAATCGACAATGTTGGTGCCATAAGAAATTATATCAAGAGGAAGACAAATGTCAAAAATACCATGATGACCTTGCAAAATGAATTACTATTCTCTATTACAAACGATATAATGCTGAATATAAAACTAAAAATGATTGGACAGAAGAAGTAGAGTGACAAAAATCAAAATCCCAACAAATATCTCACTATGAAATTAGCTCTTAAAAATGGAATTCGATCTGAACATATAATGTAATGTTATAAATGCAAAAAATATATAGATGAATATTTTGGAACATCATATTGTCTAGCTGATGGAACTATCCCTGAAGCATGTGAACAATGCCATAAAGAAAAGAAACTAAACTTACCTCAATGTGCAGTTTGCGGATACTGAGACGAAGCAAAGTACATGTACATTACTGGATGCTATGACAAGAGATACTTTTGCACATATGAAGAACAATGCATCTATTGGTTTAACCAAGGAGGATGGCGAAATAATCGTGGAACTATTCGAAAGCTTAGAGAGCAAGGATCTCTAATAGATGTATATCTCGCCTGTAATGAAATTGGAAAAGCTATCCTATCCCAGTACATTCGACCTGAAGATGCTGATGAACAAATAGAACTAATCCAATACACCGGTCCTGAAGAAGTTTCACCCAATGAAATATTTCAACAAATCTATCAACAAATTTCACCAGAATGACGTATACAACTCGCTAAACTGGAATATATCAATGTCAAACTATGCACTGAATGTTTGATTCCCTGTGATAGCAACCAA